CAAATGAGCTGCCATTCCAGAACATTCCTTCTGACGGGGGCTGAGGACGATGACTGTCTTAGATTCCTAGTCCAGCCATGGACACCCTGAGTCAGCAGAAACTCATTTCCTCAGTTTCTCTCTCGCCGACTCAGAGCGACCCTTTAGGACAGAGCAGGGATACTATAACTCTTCATAGGAGTAGAAGCCTCACTTTCCTCCCTCGGAGCGGCTGGTGGGTTTGACCTGCTCACCTTGTGGTTGGCAGCCCAGTAACCCACTATGCAGCCAGGACTCCTCTTTACAGTTCAGGAGGCTGATGTCCAGAGGAAGCTCTCTCTGCGGGCTCTGGGGGAAGGTCCTTCTCTCTGAGTAGCCCCTGTTCCTCAGCCCCCTCTCTTCACATGGCTTTCCCCCCCACCCCCCTTGTGCTCAGAAGGGATTCTGGGGCTTGGCTGAAGACACGCCCTCTTCTGGGGTGGCCTCGTTAGCATAACAAAGAAAGTTCTGGCCCTCAAGGGCTTACTCTAAACCCCAAACCAAACTCACTGCCTTAGCCCATGCTGCCTGCCTACCTCAGTGACCCTGTAGGATAGGATAGATCTGCCCCTGCAGGTTTCAGAGACTAGAACTTTTTCTGAGAGTAGAAAGCCCCATCTTTCTCCTGTGGATCGGCTTGTGGTTTCGAACTGCTGACCATTCAGATCGCAGCCCAAAGTGTAAGCACCATGCCACCAGGGCTCCTTAAGGAATTACTCTGGTTATACTGTTTTGCTTCTTCCAGAACTGAGAGAGGGAGAGAGGGAGAAAGAGAGACTAGTATTTGGGGGAGCACATCACCAAGAGTTAGAATTTACAGCACATAGTTTTTTGGGTCACAATTCAGTCCAGAGCAACTCTGAACTACCGACAAGGTCTCAGTGGAAGGGAAGCCAGCTGGGGACGGGGCTCCTGAGGAGGGCTGGCGGAGCCCAGACTGCAGTGAGGAGGCAGAGCTGGCCCAGTGAGCATGGCGGGGTGGGGAGGTCTAAGGTTGGCCTTCTGCCTGCCTGCCCCAAAGCACCGCCCCCTGGTTGTTGCCCCAGCTCTGTGGCTGCCCACTCCTCTCTAGAAGTACCTGGTGTCACCGGAGGACACTGGGTCCCCCAGGGAAAGGTCTCATATAGCCCGTCACTGGTTAAAAGGTCCCATGCCTCCTCTGAAGGCAGGTCTGCCCGACTGCTTACTGCAAGGCAGCCCAGGTGAGCTGCGGTGAGGTGGGAGCTGTTCAGGGGGCAGGGCACAGGGTGATGTGGAGGGGGGGCATGGCCAGCTGAGTTGGGAGTGGACTGAGCCAGGAGGTGGGGAGGGGGCCACCGGCTGGGACTTGGGTGCTCTGGGGCGGCCAGCCGGGTTGGCTGAGCCACTCTGTGTGGCATCTGGACTCCCGCTGCCTGGCAGCGTCTTTTGCTGGGTGGGATTGAGAGGGCCTGAGGGCAGGGGTGCAGGCTGGTGTCCGGCCTGGCGGCATCCTAAGCCTAAGTCCAGGGACGTGTGGGCGGGGCTGCCCTTTGCACAGTTCCAGGGACCACCACGGGCCATGTCCTTGTGCAGCACCAGTCAGTCTCATGCGGAGGGTGGGGGCAGCTCCAAGGAGCAGGGGCACCTGTGGACAGCTGGCAGGGTGAGGCACCGGGGCATGCTAGCGTAGAGGAAAGGGGTAGGGCTCAGGTCCCCACGTCCTGTCCCACTGTTCTGGCCTTGCCCCCAAACCAGCACTTCCCAAAAGGAAGATCTTTGGTGGCCTCTGATCATGCACGGTGTGGGGCTTGGACCTAACAGCCAAGCCTGCCTCAGGGTAGTGATTACAAAACCTCATTCAGCCATGGAACCAGCTCCACCCTCAGCCAACCCCAAACCACCGGCTGGGCTCTGAGGTTTGACAGAGTTGCCGGTGGGCTTGGCACCATGTGGTACACTTGCCCTCCTCTGGTCAACCTCTCTGTCACAGCGCAGCCCTAGGTTTACAGACCGGCCACAGTGGCATGTTAAGGATTAGAGGTTAAGGCCTCACCAGTTTAACTGCTCTGAGTGTCCAGTGCACTGTGTCCACCTATTGCCTCCTCCCCAGAATGTAGCTGAACTTGTTGCTTGGCACTGTGGCACACCAAGGTGTCCGATTCTGACTAGATCCCTGAAATAGTAATATTGCCCTGGGAGAGGAGGTCCTTGGCCCTCTGGGAAATGAGGCTTCTAGAATTTCCAGTTTTCTGTCCAAGTCTAGTCCTCACTACCTTTGAAGAGCTTGCCGATCCTGGCTCATAGATTAAAAAAAAAAAAAAATTCTGTTTAGCAGTGACTCCTGCTGACAGACAGTGGAATTGCACCCCAGCTCTATGAGCACCTGCAAGTAGCCTGGCTGAGGTGGCATACTCGTTTGCAGAGAGGGGAGTTAAGGGGAAGTAGAATGCTTATGGTCTGCATGTCAGGTCCTGCTAGAGAAAAGAACACAATGTCCAGAAGGGACGGGAATGTTGGGCAGTCTTGCTTTAAGACAATGTGACTCACAAGCCTCCTCAGTATGGGGATTTTTGGTTTTTTAAACTCCCTTTGAGAAAATATTGCTTCATGATTATGGTTGAGGTAAAAGAAAATGGGATAGAGCCCGTTTTGTGGAAGCATAACTGTCCACAGGTGAGGGGGTGTTTGTAAGAGTGGGGAAGGGCTGTTTCCCGTATTTGGATGCAAACTCCCAAGCCTTACCTTCAGATGGGGGCCCTCAGCTGTGCCTCAGGGCTTGGTTCTGATGTGAGGGTGGTGCCCATCCCTCTGGCACAGCCCAATGCCGGTCATGCCTCGGTCAGGTTGCACAGTGACACAAGGGGCCTGGAGATGTCACCCTTGCTCCCGGGCCCCTGCCCTCATACCACAAGGTCTGTCCCTGAGCCACTCAGCCTAGCATGGGGTGGGGGATGGGGGTGGGGAATCTGCCTTGCTCAGCTTTCTGGGAATCCACATCACAGAATGTGTGTGATGACACTCCACTTGGCTCCCCGCTGAGCACAGCTTGGAAGCATCTGGAATGTTATGAGATTGGGGGGCAGAGCGGAGAGAGGCCAGGGGCAGGAGAGCTGGAGGCTGCCTGGTCTCGGCCTCCCTTGTCGAGGCCCCACCTCCTCATTGGTGGGCTCGCCCCAGACCAGCCTCAGGGGCCTGTCTGGGAAGTTGATCTGAAGGCCCCAGTTCTGGGCAGTCCTGCCACCAGCTTCCCGCCCCCTCCTTGCTGCCTGCACAGCCTGACTCCCCTGAGCCGGCTCCGCACCCCCTTGTGCCTGCAGGCCCTGCCAGAGGCCTCTGGTTCCTATTAAATGTCCTGAGCAGGGAATGCAGTGGTGTTGTTAACACAAATAAACAGAGCCCCCAGGAATGCAGTGGCTTGGCCAGAGGGGCGAGAGCCACTGGATGAGGGCAGCCCAGCGGGCGGCCGGGTGGACAGGGCAGAGAGCCTGCTCAGGTGAGGCAGGTTGGCCTCTGGACCGGGACCAGGGCAGTATGGAGGGCCGAGTGCTGGGTGAGGGGCCTGAGAAGACAGGGCGGAACTGCTGCCTCTGTTCTGCCTGGCATTCAGGCACTGCTGGGGCCTGGGAGTCATCTTGCAAGTGGGTGACCCTGCCACCCTTTGGGGGTCCTCCATCCTTGGGGCTGGTGGTGCCCCAGGAGGGGATTCGCTCCGTGGGCTCCTCACCTGGCATCCCTAGGGGGGAACTGAGGCCAGGATCATAAGTCTTGTGTATTTCTAAGTAAGGCCAGTGCTTGGAGGGGAGGCACTGCTGTCTACCTTGTGGCCCCGCCTGAGTCAGAGGCTCTGGGGCCCCTCCTGGGCCTATTCCCAGAAAAGAAACACCCCCACACCGGTCAGCCCAGCTGGGCCTGTGAGGAGAGTGGAGGTGGGATTTCAGGTGCTCAGCCCCCCAGCAATGCATGGTGAATGGCTTCAGGCTTGCCCGGTGGTGGTGGGGTGCGGGGTGGGGTGGTGCCAGCGCATTCTTGTGGCTTCCCTCTCTGCTCTGGCTGGATCTCTAGCTCACCACAGGGGCAGCTGCCAGAGCTTGATTGTAACCAACCCCCTTCAAGGAGCTGGCTGCTGCCACCGCCAGGGTGCCATGCCCCCAGTCAGCACCCTTCTGCTCAGCTGCAGCCAGTGACCTAGGAGACTCGGGCCCACACAGGGCCCCTTGGCCATACCAAGTGCCGCCTGCCGCTGGGAGGGGTGGGCCCTGGATACGGTCAGTGGGAAGTGTGGCCAGCCTGGGGCTGCCCAAGGAGTACTGCCTACAGACTCCGGCCCCTACGCTGGCACCTGCCCTGCTAAGTGGGGCTGCCTCTGGGCAGTGTGAGCTCAGCCTGCTGACCCCTACCCCAGGCATCAGTGGGGCTCTGAGCTTGACAGCAGCCTGCATGTCCGGCCTCAGGACTGCGCCAGAGTGGCTGTCAGCCCGGCAAGCACTGAGCTGGGATTGGGAGCCAGCAATCACGGCCTATTGGCCACCAATTTCTTTCCCAGCCCTGGGTCGCCCTGGCGGTAGGGTCGCGGTCCCCTCCACGGCACAGGGCAGGAGACTGAGGTGTAAAGAGGCCAAGCAGCTCTCAGGGGGGTGGTTGGGCAGGAGCAATGCCAAGGCAGGGCTGTCCAGCTCTGAGCACTGGGCCTCGTGTCTGTCACACACACCTCCTGCCCCATCCAGGGGCCCCCATTTGGGAATGGGTGCTGGGCCTTCATCCACCCTCATGGGCTGGCTGGGACTGCCAGGCCTTGTACACCTTGTCTTGGATCTCTGGGTGGTCTGGGTCCGTAGGGGTTGGGGCTGGAGGGTATGGCAACACAACACCCCTGCAGGCGGCTGGGAGCTGCAATAACAGAGAGGAAGAAGGTGTTGGCTTGCTCAAAGCCCAGCTCCCAGACGGGGGTGGGGGGTGGGGGTGGTGGCCCAGGAGGCTCCTCTGTTCTCCCTGACTGACGCGGGTCCCTCCCCTGTCCACAGCCATCAACTCCTGTGCCCTGGGCAACGGCGGCTGCCAGCACGACTGTGTCCAGCTTACGCCCTCGCGGCACCGCTGCCAGTGCCGGCCCGAGTTCCAGCTCCAGGAGGACGGCAAGCGCTGTGTCCGTGAGTCCATCCGCCGGCCCACCGAGGGCTCACTGAGGACAGACAGGCAGGGGGTGTGCCCCCGAAGTGGGCAGCTGACAATGGAGCTGCCCCGGAAGGCACCCTGCTGGGGTCTTTGGAGGCTCATGCTTGTAAAGAGGCCCTGTGGAGGGCTGGCCTAGGGCCCTGGAAGGGGTTTCCCACATTCTGCTGGTCCAGGGACTCCTGGAAGGGGTCCCACCTTGCCCCCTCTGGGTCTGGCTGTGGGTACAAGGGACCTGGGGCCCAGCCTTGGGTGAGAGGCTGCTAGGTCCCTCTGGCCTTGGTCCAAGGGTCTCCGGCTGCTCGTTTCAGAAGCAAGGGGCAGGCGCAGAGGATCCTGGGGGTGAAAATGAGGCTGGGGTGGTCATGTGATGACCGCATGCTCCTCCTCCCCTTCCCCCATGGCCTGCTGGGCTCTCCCCACCAGGACCGGTGAGAAGGGACCAAGTGGGTGTGGAAGGGACCGAGATCAGCAGTGGGGCCCAGTGCTGTCAGGTCCCTGGTCCAGAGGAGAGTGCTCCCACCGAATGGTAGATCCTGGAGAGAGCAGGGTCTTCTCAGGGATAGCCACTGGCCAGCAGGGGGTTGGAGCATGCCTAACCTGAGACAGGAACACCCTTCCTTAACTGCTCCCCTCCCATCTGCCCTTTGCTTGCAGGGAGAAGCCCGTGTGCCAACCGAAATGGCGGCTGCATGCACACGTGCCAGGCTCGCCGAGGCCTCGCCCACTGCCAGTGCCACGCTGGCTACTGGCTGGCTGAGGACCGAAAGTCCTGTGAAGGTGGGCCTGCCCAGCTCCTGTCTTGCACCCACCCCTCCACCCCTCTGCCCTGTGCTCTGCCCCAGCCCAGACTCAACTAGCATATTCCTGGCACCAAGGAGAGACCAGCGTGTGATTCTGGGCTGATCCAGCTGTGTCCTGCTGCACCGTGCCTTTTGGGAGCTGGGCTGGCCTGTCTAGTCACCGTTGAGTGACCCTGAATGACGCATGGGCTGCCTGGCCCCAGTTCATCTGTGCAGGGGGCAGTGGGCAGCTGTGAGGCCGTGGGAGGCACAGGGAGGGGCAGGAACATGCTCAAGGCAGCTGCTTCGAAGGGGAGTCTCCTGTCAGTCAGCACGAGGAAGCAGAAGATCCGAGTGTTTATGGCCATTTTTAAAAGCCCATTCCGTACAGGCAAACCTGTGAGGGCTGGCACTTGCCGGAGCGACTTTGTTTTTCGGGGTCTCTCAAGGCTTTGACAGGCTGCTGTTACCACTGTCCTGTGCTCTGCTTGGCGCCTCGGGTGAGAGAGGATTAGGCCAGACCAAGGACCACTTCAGGGCAGAAACCTTTGACTCAGCAGTACTGAGGGTGGCCGTCTGTCTACATGGACTCTCACTGGATGGAACACAGAAATCCAACCAACTCCATCCGTGGACGGAGACGAGGGAGAAGCTCAGTATCACCGGTCAGAATAAGGACTGGGCATGGCTTCAGAGCAGACCACCAGCTGTTGAGCTGCAAGTTCAAGTTGAAGCTGAAGGGAAGGAGCGCGCGTGCAGGAGCACCACAGTATGACCTCTGGTCTGTCCTGCCTGACGTTTGCCGAGACCGTCGCAAGGAGGAATTCGACCAGACGGCTTGCAAGAGGCACCAGGATATCATATGGAGGGGTCCTTCAAAAGACAGGGCCGAAAGAAACGACCGAAACGGATGTCCAAAGAGACTCCGGACCTCGTTCTCAAATGTAGCGTCGCTGGAGCAAATGGAGAGATGGTGATGCAAAGGAGCCGAAGAGAACGTTTCAAACCGGGCCCAAGAAGATAAGCGCTTGTGGGGTCCCGGAGGAAGATGTGGGGTGAGCCACGAGGGAAGAACACGCCCAGCACGTCTCAAGTGGAAGGAACTGTAGCGAAGAGTGTCCAGGCCTCACGTGGCAACACGGAAGGAGTCAATGGGCTGGCTACCCACTGAACGGTGCAGGGAGCAGCCAAAGAAGATGAACGCTAGACAGTCACTGGACCAAAAAGAATCAGCCGATTCGGGAGGCCAAGGTGTGCTGAACACATTGGCAAAATCCAAGCTTTCAGAAATTGAGACGTTTCAACAAACAGATGCAATGCTGCGTGTGTTTGGTCCTCTGAGCCAAGACATTTGGAGCACGGCCACCTGGCCAACTGAGTAGACGAGCTCTGTCTCTGTTCCCCATGTGAAGAGGTGGCCAGCGCAGTGTGGAAAGGACCAAACAGTGTCATTACTAGCACACACACAGTTGTGTCCACGGTCATTTTTAGAAGGTGGTTGCTGCAGTACACTGACAGGGAGCTGCCCGAAATTCAAGCCAGATTCAGAAGAGGATGCGGGTGCCAGATGGGAAGCAGAGAATGCCAGAGAGCTGTGGGCTTGTAGTTTCGTGACTACACAGAGACCCGTGACCGTGACCAACCACGGAGAGGGTTGAGAAGAAGGGCAATTCTACAACACTTTCTTGCGTTCGTATGGAACCTGTTCATAGACCGAGAGGCGGTTGTTGGGGCAGAGCGGGGCCCACCGTGTGGCTTCAAGCCAGGGCAGGTGCTCGGCAGGGCTCTGTCCTCTCGCCATACTTGTTCAGCGTGCATGCGGAGCAGAGGCCCCCAGCAGCTGGACTGCGTGGAAGAGGACGTGGCCTCAAGATCGGAGGCAGCCTCCTGGATAAGCTGAGCTATGCAGACGGTGCAATCTTGCTTGCCGAGAGAGAAGCAGGCTTGCAGCACCGGGCGATGATGATCAGATCAGACGTCGGCCTGGATTGCACCTCAACATGGAGAAAATAATCTCTACAGCAGCCTCCCTCGGTCAGCGGCGGTGGTGAGATCCGTGGACACCCGGCCGCAGTCGTCTCAGATCTTAATTTGCTTGGCTCCACTACCAACGCCCGTGGGACCAGCAGCCAGGAAATCAGAGGACGTGGTGCACTGAACACGGCTGCTGCAAAAGACTTCTTTGAGGTGTGACAAAGCGATGGTGTCCCTTTGAAGACCAAGGGGTGTGTGTGCTGCACCAGGCCATCGTATTTTCGCTCATCTCCCATGCATGTGAAGGCAGGGCCGTGACTGAAGGAGACCCAAGGAGAATTGGTGCACTTGAATGGTGGTGTTGGCAAAGAATAATGCCGAATAGACCACGGACTGCCAGGAGAATGATGAGGTCTGTCCCGGGAGACTGACAGCCAGAATGGGCCTTAGGGGTGAGGCCGCGAGACTGTGCCTCATGCACTTAGGAGGGTGCGTGGGAGGGACCGGTTCCGGGAGAAGGACATCATGTCGGGTCAGGGGAGACGGGGAAGGCCCTGGTGGAGACAGACTGAACCTCATGGCCACAAGAATGGGCTGAGAGGTGCCAACGGTTGTGAGAGCGGTGTAGGCCGGCCAGGGTCAACTGTTCCATGTGTGTTTCCCACCTGGCGTGTGGGGTTTTGCTTGCTCCTTCAGCACCCAAGGCAGGGCGAAGAGAAGGACGAAGGAGAAAGGGGAGTCCCCGTCAGGAGCCCCAGGGTGACGGTGGCTGCCTCAGCCCTGCCTTTCTCCCTCACGATTCTGCTGCAGGCGTAGCACACGGCCGGTGTGTGTTTGGAAAGGTTTCTCGGGCTCAGGGTCACAGGCAGCACATTTCTTTCATCTGCAGGTTGGCCGGCCGCCCACTCACTCCACGTGCCCCCGCTGCTGCTGGCCGCTTCTCAGAAACACGAGACCCTGGGTTCCCCGGGCAGCCAGCAGGCTGGGCGCCCGGGACTGTCCAGGTCCCTGACCACTCTCTGGTTGGAGAGGTTTCCAACCTCTTGAAGCCCAGGGATGGCAGAGGCGTCTGTTGACACCATTGGTCTGCTCATGGTTAGAGTCCCAGGCTCAGGCCCCGTGGGAGATCCGGGAGGCCAGGTCAGGTTTCCAGGTACCCGCCCAGGTGACTGGCAGTGGTGGTGGCGACAGTCAGCAAGGCCAGGAAGGCGGCTCAGTGAAAGGAAGGTCTTCTGGGAGCCTTGGGCTTCAGGGGCTCTTGCCCTTGAGCCAGGACCCACCTCTGGCTTCCCTCAGACTCCCGGCAGCATGGACCTAGCAGCCAACGGCCATGAGGTTGCTGGGGACACCGGTCTAGATGGGGCTAGAAAAGTGCTGGTCACCATGCACTGGGGGCCCCTCCCAGCCCCCTGCATAGCAGGCAGAGCCAAAGTGGCCTGGTCACAGAGGCTAAGACCACTCAGAGCCACCAACAGCCTGGAGGCCCCAGCAGTGGGCCCGCAGTGGACACTCTCATCCCCTTGGGCAGCACGTTTGTCCACTGGAAGACATGAGCAGAGGGGCCAAGTCCAGAGGAGTGGGTGTAGCTATGGGATGGGGTCTCAGAGGGAGTGTAGCCGTGGCAGGAGGTGTAGAGGTAGCAGGTGTAACCACAGAATCAGGGAGCATGGGGCATGCACCCATGGAGTGGGGTACAGAGGGGTGTGACCATGGAAGCAGGATTCAGAGGGGACAGTCCTGGAATTAGGATGCAGAGGGGTGCAGCGATAGAGTGGGGGTGTAGAGGAGTACAGCAGTGGAATGGGGTGCTGCCTGGGACAAGGGTACAGAGGAGTGTGATCATGCAGTAGGGGTACAGCCATGTGGAGGTACTGCCTAGTATGCGGCACAGAGGGGTGTAGTCATGGAATGGGGGTTCAGGGGCCACCTTATGTCATAGTTGGACCCTGAGGCCTGGCCACTGGCTGTGGCCCTCCCCACCTCTGGGTGCTAGGCCCTCTCCCGTGTCTCTCCTCTCTAGATGTGGACGAGTGTGCTACTGGGCAAGCCCAGTGTGCCCATGGCTGCCTCAACACTCGCGGCTCCTTCAAGTGTGTGTGTCATGCGGGCTACGAGCTGGGTGCTGACGGCCGGCAGTGCTACCGTGAGTGGGGCGTGCGGGTGGAGGGGGCATCTGCAGGCCTGGGTGCCCGGGGGTGGCAGCGTGGTTCCTTAGCCCCCCACTGGAGCAGGGCTGCAGAGGCACTGGGTGGACCTGTTCTCAGGCCCCGAGCTCCCTGGTTCCTGTTTCCAGCAGGGGCCCATTGACTGGCTGCTAGGTGGGGGTGCTTGGCACTCGGTGGGCCAGCAGACCCTGTCCCCTGCCCCCTGACCTCTTGCAGGCATCGAGATGGAGATTGTCAACAGCTGTGAGGCCAACAATGGCGGCTGCTCCCACGGCTGCAGCCACAGCAGTGGGGGCCCCCTGTGCACCTGCCCCCACGGCTATAAGCTGGACATAGACCAGAGGACCTGCGTCGGTACGTCCTGCAGTCGGCAGGGCTGCGGAGCTTGGGCCCCGGGGCCCTGCTTTGCCCCAGGTCATAGCTGCTGCTGCCCAAGTCTGGGTGGCTGGTGCCTCCATGCGGGTGCTCCTTAGGCTTGCCAAACTCTCCAGCCCAGGTGGTCGGGGGGCGGGGCTTGGTGAGTGGTGGCACTAGGGGACCTGGGAGGAGCCCTGGGTGCTGGCATCAGCCAACTACATCCTCACCAGCTTGTGGCCCACGGGGCACCCAGTGCCTATCTGAGCATTGCCCCATCACCGGGAAGTGCTCAGGGGCCTGGGAAGGCCCAACATGCAGGGTGTGGAAGGCCTGTAGCACTCTACTGTGTACCCCCTCCAGTGCCAGGCTGGCCTGACCTGGCCGGCACCTCCTCCAAATGTCCTGGAGCCTGAGTCTGTGTGTCCTCCTGTGTGTCCACATACACAGACCAGGAGCACACTAGGGTGTGTGTGAGGTGTCCATGGGACTGTGGGGGAGGGAGTGTACATGGCATTTGTGGGGGTGTGAGGTGGGTGTGTACAGGATTTTGCCTGTGACTGGGTGTGGGTGTGCATGTGCTCACAATTGTGTACAGGCCTCTGCACTGTTGTCTATAAGAGTGCAGGTGTATAGGTGTATAGGTGTGCAGGTGCATAGGTGTGTTGGTGTATAGTTGTACAGGTGTGTAGGTGGGTAAGTGTGCACGTATATATGTGTATAGGTGTATATGTGTGCAGGTGTATAGGTGTGTAGGTGCATGTATAGGTGTGCAGGTACTTAGGTGTGTCGGCATATAGGTGTGCAGGCATGTTATAGATGTGTGGGTGTGTAGGTGTATGGGTGTGCAGGTACGTAGGTGTGTGCATAAGTGTCAGGTGTATAGATGTGCAGGTGCATAGGTGTGCAGGTGCATAGGTGTGCAGGCGTGCATACGCCTGGGATTGTGCATGCTCATGTGATTGTGTGTGTGAGAGAGACCAGGTGCAGGAGTGATTGAGTGTGAGTGTGACCAGGTGAGAATGTGTGTAGGATCCAGTGTAGGTGTGCTTGTGCAGGAGTGTGTATGAGATTGAGTGCGGGGTGTGTGTGTGTGTGTGTGTGTGATTGTGTGTGTGATTGTGTGTGGCCGTGACGGGATGGGGTGGTTTGTGTGTGTGCATACTTGTGATCAGATTTGGGAGTGATTGTGTGGATGTGGTGTGGTCAGGTGCAGGTGTGGTCGGGTGATTGAGTGTGGGTGTGACTGTGTGTGTGTGTGCACGTGCTCACCCACACTCGTGATCAGATTTGAGGGTGAGTGTGTGGTGGTGTGGGTGAGTGTGTGCAGGGGTGATCCGGTGTGACCATGTGGGAATGAGCACACGATCAGGCATGGCATGACCAGGTACATGTGATTGGGTGGGCGTGGGTGGGGGCGCCGTGCCAGCAGCTCCCATGTGCCTTTAGACGTGGACGACTGTGTGGACTCCCCCTGCTGCCAGCAGGCTTGCACCAACACCCCCGGAGGCTACGAGTGCGGTTGCTATGCGGGCTACCGGCTGAGTGTCGATGGCTGCGGCTGCGAGGGTGAGCACCAAGGGGTGGGCTCTCTGGGCCTCCCCGGGCTCTGTCTCTGGGCATCGGCCGAGCGCCTCTATTTGCAGGCTATGTCCACTGTCTGCTCTCCTGGGGGCTGGGCCTGCACCCTGGCTGCTTCCAGCCTGGATCAGAGGGGCCGTTGTCATAGACCCTGGGGCAGGAGGAAGGTTGAGGATGGTGACCTACCTGCCCCTGGCATGGCCGCCCAGCCTCAGTGCAGCAGTGGGGCAGGTGGGCAGGGCCAGTCCGTGTGCCAGGGCCCCTGGGGGTCCGCCGCAGCCCCTCGCTCTCCCGCAGATGTGGACGAGTGTGCCTCGAGCCGTGGCGGGTGTGAACAACACTGCACCAACCTGGCGGGCTCCTTCCAGTGTTCCTGCTCTGCGGGCTTCCGGCTGCTGGAGGACCGCAGGGGCTGTGTCTGTGAGTCCCCCCCAGCCCCTGTTGCGGGTCTGTCTATGTCCCTGGGCTCTGCCCGCCCTTCCGGACGAGCCCCCTGCCTTCCTTCCGCCAAGCATTGGGTGGGGGCCTCTGGGGGCCTCTGCCACACCCCTCCCACTGGGTCTGGCCGCGGGTACTGATGGCCAGGTTGGGGAGGGGATGCTCAGAAAGCGTGCCTTGAGCCAGGCTCAGAGGTCCCAGTAGGCCCAGGGGCCCTAGCCCAGTGGGGGCCAGAGCTCTGCCCACCCTTCCCCCTGTCCCTCCCCTGCCCTGCCTCAGAGCGGGTCAGGGGCCTGTACTCCAGACTGAGCTGGGGTAGGTCATTGCTAATGACAGCATAGGTCAAGTCTGCAGGGCCTGAGCCTTCTCTGTCCTGGGAGCAGCGTCCCTGGGCCAGGGTGGCGGTGGCTGTGGTAAGAGGGCACAGGAGGTGGCTTTGGGGGCGGGGACTGGCTTGCTCCTGG